AATAATAATAGAGTACATCTGTAGAGCCTGACAATCATAACACCACACACAAGTCTTGTGCACATGTTTACAGAAGAACAGCAGGAACTAATTTCTTTTCCATCCCACAGCTTCTTGTATCCAATTGGTAATGCCCATTGCAACAAGAATTTTATCTTATGTTTCCTTTTTAGATAGAGAAGGCAGAGAAGACAATACTTGCTAAAGGTATGTATAACATAGTTTACAACTGGCCAGCTGACACTTGATTCTTCTAACATAGACCAAACTAAATAAAGCTAAAACCTGCTATTTAAACTATTAAATTAAGATATTTCAGTGTAGCTCTCATTGCGTTTACTTTTTTTAAAAAAATCTGACAGCTACAATGTGTGCATAAATAAAACAATGAACTATCTGATTCAAATATTTCTATAATTTTGAACATTTCAATCCATACCTTCAGAGAATAAAACAAAAACATGGCTGATGTTACAAAAAAACTGTTTTTAGGAACTTTGGGCACTTCTTAGTATTCAACTCCCAGACAATATTTAACCTGTTCTTTATCCCTTAAAAACCACAGTAGAATTGCAGAATGCTCAATAGGCCATGCATCATGTGGTGGGTGCAGGCTTGGTTTAACCCAAAGAGTTGTGCTCATAGAAAGTTGTCTTATACAAAGTCAAACTGTTTGTCCATTGTCCCAGTACAGTCAGCTTTGATTGGAGGCTAGTTTTTACCATGATTTAACTGTTGCTCCTTTTAACTGGAAATGTTGAGGACTGGACCTTAAATACCCTATGTCCTCCTGCAAACAATAGATACCCAATGTGGTATAATGAATAGAGCAACAGACCAGGACTCAGGAGACCTTGGTTCAAAACTGTGCTCACCCATGGGAACTCATTGGTGTGTGTGGAACTGGTAAAAGCACTTCTTAAATATCCCTTGAAAGCCCTATTTGGGTTGCTATAAATCAGTCCCAACTAGACAGCACATAACAACAAACACCAAATGGAAATAGTGAGAGCAAACGTTAACTCTCTTAAGAAGTGTGTTCTCGAAGGCTTTCACGGTCGGGATCGTATCAAGTGGGCATTTAAATTGGGGTGGGAATTTTGTGGGCCTGACCATTGATATACTATCTGGGGTGGGCAGTAGTTGCAGTCTAGCAACTTTTGGAGAACCAGATGTTTCCCCAGTCTTTTCTTCCTACTGTTTCACCAGTCTCTATGACTGGCATCTTCAGAGAACAGGAGCTAGAATTCTATCTGTGTTCTGGTGTAGTGTGTGGGATTGTTGAGTATTTGTAGCTGTGGGATCCGATTCTTGTTCTTTTCAGGAGACTGAGTGTTTCCTGTGATCAGGGTGTTTTTTGTTACTGTACAAGTGGTTTGTTGTGATAAGGGGGGGAGATGATCTGTCACTCTGATGGGTGTCATTGGCTAGTCTTTGGAGTGCAGTGATCACCGGTGCTTGTGACTGGGTAGAGTTCACTGACCTTTTTGCAGGCTGTATTTTTTAGTGCTGGGAGCCAGGCATTGTTGAGTTTTAGACTTTCTTCTTTTTTGTTGCTCTGCTGGTGTTTGTGGATTTCAGTGGCTTCCCTGTGTAGTCTAACATAATGATTGCTGGTGTTGTCTAGTACTTTGGTATTTTGAGATAGGATTTCATGCCCAGTTTGTTTTAGGGCATGTTTAGCTACTGATGATTTTTCTGGTTGTTTTAGTCTGCAGTGTCGCTCATGTTCTTTGATTCTGGTGTAGATGCTTCATTTTGTGGTCCCAATATATACCTGGCCACAACTGCAAGGTATCCGGTATACCTCTACAGTGGTGAGGGCATCCCTTTTGTCATTTGCTGACCGTAACATTTGTTGTATTTTTGTGGTGGGCCTGAATACTGTTTGTAGGTTGTGTTTTTTCAACAGTTTCTCCATGCAGCCTGTGACCCCTTTCATGTATGGCAGAAATTATTTATGGGGGAGATGTTTTTCTTCTTCAGTTCAATGTTGTTTTCTCTGTTTGATGGCTCTTGTGATTTAATTCTTGGAATAGCCATTTGCCTGTGGGGCTCAATTCAGGTGGTTGAGTTCGGTGCTGAGAAACTGTGTTTCACAGTTCCTATTTGCACGTCTACCAGTTTTGATTATTTCTCTTTTTTGTTATGGATGGTGGTTGGAGTTTTTGTGTAGGTACCAATCTGTGTGGGTCAGTTTTCTGTAGACCTTGTGTCCCAATAGGAGGTCAGGTTTGCGTATGACCATGACACCTAAGAAAGGGAGTTGGCCCTCTGTTTCTTTTTCCATGGTGAATTGTATGTTTGAATGGATGCTATTGAGATGGTTTAGAAATTCTTCCAGTTTTTCTTCACCGTGGCTCCAAATTGCAAAGGTGTCATCCATGTATCAGATAGCCTGGTTATAGAGAACTTACACATGGAACATTTCGAAAAACAGGCCCTGGCTTCGGCACCCTTCACACCCTCAGTCTGGTTCCGATGCGTGGATGACACCTTCGCAATTTGAAATCCTATCCTATCTCTTAAGAAGCTTTGCAGTTTTCTTGTTGCTATATTTTTAACAGTTAAACAATTCACCGGACAAATGTCCATTCAACCTCAAAATGTCAGTTCAGTAGTTTAAAATGATTTTGAATCACAGAGCACATGCTGTATCATTCTACCAAATTTTATTGGTTTGATTTTGTTTCAATTTCCTTTTGCAGATGAGGACCTGTTACAGAATAAAATGATAGAGAATGCAGTACATATGGGTTTCAACCTGGATGAAATTAGAAAAGCTATGGAAAGGAAACGCCATCTATCTGCAGAGAGCTATAGATCCATTGAGGCTCTGGTTGGAGATTTAATAAGTGCTCAGCACGAAAATGCACCGCGTGCATCCTGGGAAAAGGGCGAGTGCTATAAATGTTGCAGCTTATATTTATTTTGAAGTTATTTAATTTTATTTATTTAAAAGAATTTTACCCCAACTTTCTCCTCGAAAGGACCCAAGGCAGCCATATGCAGGCTGAATGAAATGAAATTGCTATAGAATATGGATGAGCCAGTCTCTGGGCATACAATTTTACTTTTCAGAGAGGGGGGCAGTTCTGCCGAGCTTGGAAAAGTGCTCATGCAGGGTGGAAGATTATGGGAGCTTTAGTGCAAAAAAGTGAACTTTGCCAGGTTCCTGAGGGTTTTGGTCAGCAGCAGGAGCAGTATCATTCCAACAGTTTACTCCATGTTATTCCATTAGCTGAATGTTTTAATGCTCAGCTGACTGCTAGGTCTTATTCAACATTCAATTGAGCATGCAGATTTGGAGACTGCTTATTCTGATATACTTTAAAACACTATGGTGAATTGGATCAGTGGTTCTTAACCTTGGGTTACTCAAGTGTTTTTGGACTGCAACTCCCAGAAGCCTTCACCACCAGCTGTGCTGGCTGGGGTTTCTGGGAGTTGCAGTTCAAAAACACCTGAGTAACCCAAGGTTAAGAACCACTGAATTGGATAATTCTCTTTAGTTCTTTTTTCTGCCTTTCTGCACTTCAAATCAAATTTCATTCAAAAAGTCCATGTACCATAATAGTAAGCATTTGTACAGAACACAACATATACCCAAATCACTTCTCTTATGTACATGTGTATTACATGACCCCTAGAGAGTCAGACTACTACTATTATCACCCCAGTGCTCACGCGAGGCTGAGAGAATTGTTGTTTTCTTATTTGTTGGACACAGTTTTTACTAATCTACCTCTTCTAGCTCAAAGATTTGCAAAGGTGGCTTCTGATTATAAAACCAAACAATAAGAACTAAGTTAACCAGATAAAATTGCAGTTAGGAGCCTGGATGCAACCTGATTTTAAAAAGAAGAAAAAGGCAAGAAAACACACAGCAGCATAGAATAATTATTTGCTGGGAGACTGGGTGTACGGTATACAGCTCATTTTGACTTGTGCTTGAAACTGTAGAGTGCAAGGATCCTTCTAAGATGCACAACTCCGCCTCCCTCTAGGCAGCCCTTTTGGTTCTGGTCACAATGGAACCCTGTGCGTGGAGAGGAGGTGGAGTCACGTACACACACAGGGGAGAAGTTGCGAGAGAGGGAGAGGGAGCCAGAGCCTCACTCTGAAGCTGAAAATTAGAGGGTACATTGGTAGATTGGATGCCAGAATCCCTCTTAGTAAAGTATGTTGCTATGACCAGGGTGTCAGCACAAGCAAAACCTTACTCCCTTGATCTCCAACCACCTGATTTCTGAAGCAAAAATAAGATAAGGGCTCAGCCTTTTAGAATATCTGCCGAGTCTTGTGCACCAACCAGCACAGGGCCAAACTGCCAACACTTTGAATACTCTGGCTCTGTATTTTCTTCTCTGCTGTTGCTACTTCATGAAATAGCTTGTTGATTTGTTCTGTTTTTTCTTCCCTTCAGATCTCAGTACTGAAGAAAAGTTGAGACGCTTGCAAGAGGAAAAGTTGTGTAAAATCTGCATGGACAAAACCATCTCAGTCGTCCTCATTCCATGTGGACATCTTGTTGCTTGTGAGGATTGCGCCAAAGCAGTTGACAGATGCCCTTTGTGTTGCACAGTGATTACCAAAAGGCAGAAGATCTATACGTCCTAATTGCAAGCACCATGTTATGCAAGTGGAAAACTCCCCTTCCATTCCTGATGCTGACTACGTATGCAGTTTTTATACAGACATGGATTCAAAGAAAGGAAGCTTTCATTTAATACTCCAGAGTTTTGTATGGATTACAAAGCTGCTAAATTCTGTTCACTTGATTTTATCCCTCATGCCTTGCCCCTGAGAACCCATAGGTGAGGATTAGGCAATCTGGCCCTCCACGTATAGTTGCATTGCAACTCTATTTATCCTTTGTGCCTGCCCGGGTTAGCTGAGGCTAATGGGAGTTGCAGTCCTACATTGCTGTAAGTTTTATAGAGTCACTTATCTAACCTGGGGGACTCTCTTTGTTTTGGAACAGCCATTTGGTTAACTTCATCCACCTTGTTTTTTATCTTGTCATTGCCCAGTTTAAAGTCACTTGGAAACACAGTTCTCATTAAGGCTGTAACCCTACATGTGGGTTCTACCACTGGAGATAGGGGCTTGCCTATTACTTATACTTCCCCCACTTGTGTTCTGAAATAGTACAACCCAGACACAGGCATTCCCCTACTGGAGAGAACTAGGGCAGAGGTTCCCCCAAGGTCTGGCTGAGATGTTGCCAGTATGGTTTTTGATAGTAAAAGGTCTGAAACACAGTTTTATGAAAAAGGTCAAGCCGTAGAGCTGCTTGGATCTTGAACCACTCTGGCTGCCTCTGTAGCAGTGATAATACAAACTTACAACAGTCTACTTATAAAACTACTTTATTGCTTTTTGGCCTTCATAAGAGCCTTCAACATGTTTTACATAATTCAGTAAACATTGGATGCCCTAACTCTGCTGTTTATATTTGTAGACCTACATGTACACTACATGACAACCTGTTGGGAGCCAAAATACAACTGTTATAACAAATAACTCGGGCCTCTCTTAGTAAACCAAAAGATCAGAGCAGCTCTAGTTTTAAGTTGTATACTTTAACCTTTTGTAAACTAGTGTGTAAGAAAGACTAGCCATACAATTAAACTATTCTGGACAGATGCAGAATGATAATGACTTTGGCTGCCCAACCGTTAGTTGGTGGAAAGAACCTCATGGTCAGCCTAAGAGATCTCTGAGCACTTAGGGTGGTTGTAGTTTTCTCTTGTTAAGTTAAATGAATGGCATGTGTGCAACTCATCATTGCAGTTTAGGATTTAAATTCATTTGTTGGCTGGTTAACAAGTACAGCTGAAATTTAGAACTTATATAGATATAACGGCTGGTAATCAGATGCACTTCTCACAACATTTGATGCTTTGATTTGGTTGGTTGGCTTTTGGGTTTCCCACTGATTCTACAGTTGTCTAAAAGTCTTGTGTCTTGAGCAGAATCCGACTAATATTGCTTGCTCACTTGATTTATTTCAATGGGACTTGTGCAAGAACACCACTCTTTACTCATGACACCATGAGCACCATGTTATAGAAGCAGAGAAAGAACAGCACTGGTCATGAGTAATGGATCCATCCTGTTTTATTCCTTTGTAGTTTCTGGCATAATCCACCTGTGTTCAGCAGCATAACAAGAAAATACTCTTACATGGGAAAGACCTCTGCATTACATTTTTCCCAGTCTTGCTGTATTTTTTAATTTTCCTTAATATTGATGGCATCCTTAAACTGTATTTTGTATAACTGAAGATAATATTTAAATACACTTACATTTAGATTTCAAACCAAAATTTTTATGAGCTTGATGGTAAATATTGTTGGTCCTAAAAGAAAAGAAGAAAGTCCTTGGTCCCTAGATTCAAGCTTTGAGTTGATCAAACATATTTCAGTGTACTGACAGAATTTATTTTTTTATAAACACTACAATCATGTAATATAATTTTAGAAATGTTCTCCAATCGTACTTTTGACAATTTTAAATAAACTTTCTTATACATCAAAAATGGTCTGTCATATTCAATTGATCAACTGGTATGTTTAGTAAGGAGTCACAGGCCCTATCTTTTGTCTTTTTCCTTCTTCTTTTGGTGTAGTAAAATGGAGAATATCCTGGAAGAGGACAAGATCCAGACAGATACAGGGTTTACTATTTCGCAGTGCCTTCTTTTTGGCTGTAGCTCTGTATCCACTCACCTGGGAGGGAGTGGAACTGCTGCTCTGGTAGGGATTAGCAACTGAGTGTAAGTCTAGGTTTGTACAGGTTTGCCTTCTTAATGGAAACCACATAATCATATGGCCCTATATATCAATCTTGAGAAGAAAGTAAGTATCAACAAAGTAAAAATTCTGTAAAAGGAAATCCTGATGGCTTAGAACAGAAATATATAGCACCCCACAAACAAATTCAGGAGGTAGAGAGGGTGGTTGTAGCCTTCACTGAGAGGTTCACTGGTGCAGGCCATTCAAACACATTGTCTGAAACCATAGTAGTGGTTCTGTGCAAAATTAGGGCAACCAGGGACATCCAGAAGTTCTTGGACTTCAACTCCCAAAGCTTCGAGGTGCACATCCAGTGATAGTGGGAGTTGTAATCCAAAGACATATAGAGGTCCATTGGTTCCCAACTCTGAAGCAGATGCTCTCCTGAGAGAGAGATGGAAGAGGCAAAGCAAATAGGCAAGGAAGGAAAGAGACTAGTTAATCAACTGCATCAGTCTTCACTCCTAGGATCAGCTGCTTTGCTTAAATTAGATGGAATATGCCCTAGCTCTTCATGTATAGTTATAATAATAAATGTTTTATTATGGTCATTGACCAGCAAAAGTAAGGAAGATTATTTAAATAAGGAGACATGAAATCAATCTAAAACACTAAAAATATCTATACAGTGGGGTCTTGACTTGAGAGCTTAATCCGTATTGGAAGGCGGTTCTCAAGTCAAAAAGTCTGTAAGTCAAGTCTCCATTGACCTACAGTGCATTGGAAACCCGATTAATACCGTAACAGGCCGTTTTTGTTCCATTTTGGTTTTTTTCTTGTCTGTAAGTCAAATCTCAGTCTGCAAGTCAAACCTAAATTTTGCGGCCAGAGAAGTCTGTAACTCAAAAAGTCTGTAAGTCAAGCCGTCTGTAAGTCAAGGGTCCATTGTACACAGTGGTGCCTTGCTTAGCGAGCGCACCGTAGAACGACGAATCCACATAGCGAGGACGTTTTCGCGATCGCTAATGCAATCGCAAAGCGATGGCCTCTATGGCCGAAAATCGCATAGCAAAGGTTGGTAAGCGGTTCGCTTACCGACCTTCGCTTTGCTACCCGCAGATCAGCTGTTCGGCGGCTCCAAAATGGCTGCCGGAAGCCCCGAAATGGCCGCGCGCAGCGTTTTCGCGCACTCGCTAAGAGAGGGGAGGGCGCAAAAATGGCTGCCGTCCATAGGGAAGCATCGCTTAACGGTGAGTTTCGGGGCCCATTGGAATGGTTTTTTTTCGTTTCGTTGAGCGATGTTTCCCATAGCAAGGGTTAATCCGGAACGGATTAACCTCGCTATGTGGGGCACCACTACATATATATAAAACTAGATTCATATATCTTATTCAATATCTTATTCAATATCTTATCTGGTACAATATTACAGGATAACCATGTATGGTTCGAAATGAAACCTCAGTGGCTTCTTGCACCAGCTGACAAACTACACAGCTAGCCTGAGTCAAGTGATAAGTAGCAGTTTCCCATTGCAGGTTGCTGCATCAGTGTTTAGAAGTACCTGTAATGAAAAGAGATGGAAGGAATTGGGGGATTCCCCGCAATTTGGAGAAATATGACTGTCACATTCTGGCTCTGTGGCTCAGGCTTTGACACTGAAATCTTGGGGAATGAGATGCTCATTGCTTGATAGCTAATGTAGTTTGGAGGCTCATATAATGCAATCATCCAGAGAGCTAGTAGTAGATCCAGACTTGTATCTCGCCTTTGGTTTAGAAAACAGTGGCTGAAATCCTGTTGGTTAGTGTAGTCAATTACACTAGGCACACTGACTCAGTGGGGATTTGATGGGTCAACTCTAACTTCCATTGGCTCAAATGGGTCTACTCTAATGGTGACTTGATACTCTAACTTCCATTGGCTCAAATGGGTCTGCTCTAATGGTGACTTGATTTAGCATAGTAAGTTGCAACCAGAGTAGGCCCTTGTGAATCAATGGAACCTATGGAAGAGACTCCTCTAACCTCCACTGATCCAGCAGGCTGACTAGTGCAACTTGCTGTGCTAAGCAACAGGATTTCAGCCATCGTTTTTTTTAACTTGCTGTGCTAAGCAACAGGATTTCAGCTATCGTTTTTTTTTACATAAAACACTTGCTTCCCATTATGTGTCATAGTCTCCAGTTTGCAAATCTCTTCCAACAGACTCTGGAGGTGTCAAGTACTGTACTTCATTGGCCTTTCTATATCATTGTTTCTCCACATTGTCTGTCACATGCATCCCATTTTGTAAAGACTTGAAGAATCTACATTCTGTGCTATCACAAGACCATGTGTTAGTTTTCACATTTGACACCAAAGTTGTCAAGAATGGGCTGCTGCTGTACTGGCAACCTTAGAAGGAACATCCTAGCCAATGTGGCCACATTGACTGGGGTACTTTGGAAGTTGTAGCCCGAAATGTGACTTCCCTCCTCTACTAGTCCATTTTTTCCTTACTGAAAGTATAATCAAGGTACATTTCAAAGGTAATCCAATGGTGGTGGTGGGGGATAAGGTTCTTTGGGCCAAGCTTTTGCTGGTTGACACTTGGAATAAGATGTTTTACATTTATACACTTCTTAGGCATATTTTCACTTCTATTTCTTTGGACACAGTCTGGGAATTTTAAATTCCAGATAATTGTTTTTAAGAGATGGGTGAGCCTTATTCTGTTGCCCAGCATAGCAAACTGGAATCCTAACCTTTCCCCAAATTCTAACCATTTAAACGTTTCTTTTATGAGTGTTTTTAGAGACATTTAACAAGATTTCTTCCTTAAAGATGGATTTACTGATCATAAGGTTTTTTTTCAAACAAAAGAAAAAACAACAGTGAAAAACTTGTTACTGTACTTTGTAAAACTAGCAACAGTCTACAGGGGAGGTGAAATAAATCATATAAGTTACTTCCTAAAAAGCAGTTTTCAAAGACCTGCATCAGTGGTACCCCAAAATGAAAAATCCACAGATGTTTGGCTGTGGCATCTCTCTCTGAAACAGTTTTGGGGAGAAGGAAATGGTCCTCTTTCCACATCTTGATTTTGTCCCTGGAGTGGGATATATCATGAGTTGCCACCACTCCTTACTATAACATTTGCTTGCCAGCTTTAACAATCAGCCAGAAAAGTTCCTCTAAGCCAACATTCTTTTGTCTCTTGTGCATGCATATTTAAAATGCCCTTGTTAATACATTTTAAAGAACATTTCATATGAACTTGACTTCTCACCCACCCGTCTCAACAAACTGAGATGTGAAGTCAATATTAATATTTAGGGGTTTTTATGTACAGTCTACCCCCTTTGTAGTTCTGCTGTCATCTGCTCTTTGCAGTAGATTCTTATAATCTTCAAAGGTTGGGATTTCAGCTTTCATAGGGAAAGACTTATTATTTTTTTCAGACAGTGATACAGCCCTGGAATTTCAGTCCCGCAGAAACACTTTTGATGGGTTTAAAGCTTATGTGTGTTATGTAAAGTTGGGGGGTTTTATTCACAGTCTGGAATAGTGGGGGAGGGAGACAAATTCCACCTAACATAGCTTTAATATGCAGCACCCAGAGGGTATTTTATTATTCCATTGCCATTGTTTTGTTTCTGACTTGTTTCTGCGAAATATAAAAAAATAAACCTTGCAACAATAGGTTCTGCATATGCAAAGGCATTAATTCCCACTCAGTCCAAATTTCCAGTTTCGTGTCATTATTATACAAGAAATGCAAAGGAAAGGAAAAGGAAGTCATATTAAGGCATCCCTTATTAATGTATTTGTTAGTTACATTTCTAATCTGCCGTTCCTCCCAGGAGATCAAATCAACATACATGGGATCTCCATTCCTCTCGCAAAATTGTGAGGCAGGCCAGGTGTTGTGGGTGTGGCAGAGAGGGCGAGACTGGAGGACTTGGACAAGGTCCCATGCTGAGCTTCAGGGCTCTATAGATATTACAACTGGATCTCCGAATTCCCTGTCTAACAGCATAACCTCTATGGTACGCTGTGAGTGAGTGGCCCTCGCATCCCCTTCCAGGATGACACAGAGACTAAGCTGCTGGAACAGGCTTTTCGTGAGAGCAATGAAACTTTAAAAGAGCCAACGTGGCCAAGAACATTAAACGAATCACTCAAGGCTCCGGGGAGTTGGCTGCACTCTCACGGCCTTTGGGGGCAGTGCCCAAGAGTCTTTTACCGGAAGGAGCGGAGCCCCACATCTCCGACCAGTCTAGGACTCCACGTCAGTGCGCCAGGCCCGGGATGGCGAAACAAGGGTGCTGGCAGTCCGTTGTCCCTGGAGGCGAGTGGCAAAAGCTCCTTCCCCCACCATCCCTCCATAGTCCCCACCAGCCGCTGCACCCATGCAATAGTCCTCCAGAGAGGTGTGGCCGATCCCTAACCGGACCCAGCTGGCCTCTGGAGTGCCGTGAGGCACGGAGCAGGCGGCTGACCTTCAGGAGACCAGCACGCAGGAAGGCCGTGGGGTTTCTCCAAAGGGGCCACTGCCCCTTGTGGCTTTGCTGGCGACAGGCCCAATGCTGGTTCTTGAGCCTTTGTGCTTCTTGGCGCTTGGCCCGCTCCCGACAGACCCGGGCGGCTTCCTCTCACAGCAGAAGGCATTCAACCCAGACATCAGTCTTGGGATCACGGGTGTGTGTGTGTGTGTGTTTCGGTTCCCATCCGGTCGTCAACCTCTCCAGTAGTGTCACCACCTCTCAGGCTTCACACGTTCCCCAGTTCACGGACATTACCCAATTGTCTTCCTCCCTTGC